TGCTGTCGAGTCAGTTCTGACCCATAGCGACCCTGTATAGCGTTTCTAAGGAGCAGCTGGTAGTTCAAACAGACTTTGCAGTCTAGTGTATTTACCCACAGTGCCACACGAGGACTAACAATTAATCTAGGGATGTGAAGGACTTAAATAATGAAAATTATACAACACTGCTGAAATAGACAACTAAGTAGACAAATAAATGGAAAAATGTACTATGATTTTTATATGGAATACTTAATTTCGTCATGATGTCACTACTACCCAAAGCAAACTATAGATACAAACAATCCCAATGAAAACTCCAATAGCTTTCTTTACAGAAATAAAAATACTAATTTTATACTGAACTTTATATAGACTAGCAAGAGGTCCCAAATAGCTAAAGCAATGTGGAAATGGAAGAATAAAGTACGAAGACTCATATTTTCTGATTTTAAAACATACAGCTGTGGTAATTAAAACAGCCTGGTACTGGTATAACAACAGACACACAGACCAATGGAAAAGAACTCAGTCCAGAAATAAATCTGCAAGTCTATGGTCAACTGATTTTTGGACAAGGGTGCTAAGTCAATTTGAAGGGGAAAGAAGTTTCTTTAATAAATGATGCTGGAGAAACTGGATTTCCACATGCAGATGAAACATGATCCATGCCTCACATCATAAACAGAAACAAACCCACAGAGGACCAAGGACCTAAAGTGCAAACTAAGACCATAAAATTCTTAGAAGAAAAGTAGGGGATATGCTGTACAATAACTAAAGAACAAGGAGCAAAATAAGTAAACAGAACCAACCTCATTAAAGTTACAAAGTTTTGTTCATGAAAAGATTTTATCAAAAAGTACAAACACAAGTTACCAACAGGGAGAATAGACTTAGAAACCATATATCCAAGAAGAACCTAATTACCCTAGTATGTACAAAACTCTGACAATTTAACAACAAAAAGACAAACAACTTAATCATAAAATAGACAAAAGATCTGAACAGACATTTCACCACAGAGGACATTCAAATGGCCAACCAGGGAAGTTGGAGGAGACAAGGAAGGATCTTCTTGTAAAGCTAAGAGAAAGGGCATGATCCTGTCAAGGTCCTAAATTTGGGTTTCTAGCCTCTAGAATTGTAACACATTGCATTTCTGTTCTTCAAAGACACCCACTGGGTGGTAGTTTGTGTGGGAGCCCTCAGGACACAGACAGAAGTTTAGTCATGCAGCCAGTAACCCAGGTCTATCTTCCACTAAAGCCACTGCCCTTTGAACTCTGCCCCATGCCTCCCAAGGCACAGTACTTCCATTCTGCCTTGTACCTGAGATCGATTTCTTCCTCAACATCTACAGTTGGACAACAGAATCAACTTTGGCCTTATGACTCTGGGCCGTAAGATAATAGCAAAATACCTTCAGTTAGGTTCAGAGAAGAAAATCCTGCTCAAACAAACCTGTCAAAATAGTATCTGTAAAGAAAGTTCTAAAGCAACAGGCTAAAGTGGGGGCCCTTATGCCTGAGGGGACACACTTTACGATGGGCAAGGTGCCCTCACCTGTGTGAAGTACATCCTGGAGGAGTTGGCACCTAGGAGCTTGCTCTCAATATGCTGCTGTACCCGCTCCAGGATGCTGTCCTCGTGCAGGAAGTGAACTTCATGCTTTGTGGGGTGCACGTTGACATCCACATTCTGAGGGCTGATTTCTAAACTGGCAGGGAAAAAAATGAACATTACCTTAGATGATGGTAGAATGGCGCACGAAATATTCATGAATGATATTATGTGATGGCGAGAAGACTTGGAGAGGCCGAATGACACAGTGGTCAAAACCTCAGTCAAATTTGAGTGACTCGGCCCACACGTTGGCTCAGCTCCTAAGAGCAAATTACACTATCTTACTTTGCCTCAGTTTCCTTGCCTGCAAAGTACAGATAACAGAATTCATTACCTAGCTTATGGTGGGGTACCTGGCACATTTATACTATCAGCTAATGTCACTGTTCTAGAATAACTTATTATGTGGCCTTACACAAGTTACTTCTCTAAATCTGTTTTCTAAGCTATAAAGGAAGGGTAACCATAAACATGTCCCTGCTTACTTTTCTGGACTATATAAAGATCAAACAAAAATGTACCTGGAAAGAAGTTTCTATCATTAATTGCGGCAATCAACAATTTTATTGTCTTTCAACTCTCAAATCAATCTTTCACAGGCTGCTGAGGTAATGGAGCTTAGCAATGTGAATCTTTGCCAGTAGAGGGTGCTGGAGGGACACTGGAGAAGAAAGGCGACTCCTCCCCCAGACAGGTTCCCGAAAGGTATGGGGTTCCTCTGCAGTGCCACACAGCCAGCACCCATTGCAGCACCTTCTCTTTCCCTGTCACTTTGCAGCAGAATTCCACTAGCAGAACATCTCATCATCCTCTGCACCATCCAGTGAGCCACAGCTGTATCCTCTAGAGGCGAAGGAACAATGACAGGTAGCTATCTTGGGTGCTCCATCTCAGTCCTCAAGGCAATGCTTGCTCCATTTCCTGCTATTTCCCATAATTCCAATTCCTAGTTAACAGCTCTTTATATTAAACTTCCCACTTGTGAATGACTGGGTACTTCTATCTTATTATGTGAGATGCTGTCTTCTTATTCAAAGAAATGGAGTAAGTGGTAACTTTAGTTCATTATCTAGCAGAAAACAAGACTCACCAATTCTACATGTAAACAAAAAACTATTTTAAACCCTAAAAACATTCATTTCTATCTAAGTGAAAACAAGAAGAAATGGATTTTGTATAAAAACTTTCCATTCAGAGGGCAAAAGTTTCAGACTTAAGACATTTTAGTATAACCCACGCGTTATATGAACACAGTCCTGTTATGAAGCGTGATCTTTTGCCACGCTATGATAAAAATGCCAAGACTGTTAAACGGACGAATGATTGGGGCACCAGAAACAATGAAACAAGACCCTCCGTACAGCTCCAAGACTAGTGGTTCCTTTAGGACAGGGGGACCTCACATTCTGTATTCCAAACACCTCATATGAGGCCTGGCCTGTATAATGCTCAAAATACGACTGTTAAAACGTTTCAATGAACTCTGGAGCAATCAACACCTGACTCGGCCAGCCACGGCAAAAGTCTCAGGGAAGAAAATTTCCTTTCATGAAAGGAAGAAAACCCAAACCAACGTTGCTATTTCAATTTCCCAGGTTGACTCTAACGTTGTTATTAAATGCCACAGAGTTGGTCCCAACGCCTAGTGACCTTGTACAGGCTTTCCAAGGAGCAGCTGCTGGGTTTGAACTGCCGACTTCAGGGTTCACAGTCCAGTGCTGACCCTATAGTGCCACACCAGGACCATAATACTCAAAAGCCCTTTGAGTACCTTTCTCACTCTGTACTCCTAAAAAGCTATAGACCACAATACAGATTCCTGAAGGGCAGAGACACACTGTTCATCTTTCTGTCACCAATTAGGTGTCTGGTACACAGTAGAACCTCTCAGTGAGATTCTCCAGTGTGAGTAAAGGAAAGAAACTGACACCTTTTACCTATGAGAATGGACAGAGCATCCCTTACCACTGGCATATGGGGTTCATTCAGATCAGGGCATTAGCAAATCCATCTCTTTTGAAGAAAAGAGCCTGGAAGGATTTCTATTCCTTTTGAGTCTTGGGTGAAGACTTTGGTGCTGCATTACCTGAGGTACAGGAACGGGTGTGTGTTTTTGGGCAAATATGCTGCATACACCGTTTCTATAGCTTTTCTCAAGGAACTTGACTCTACCAGACGATCTGAAAAACAAAAGGAAAGTGAATGGCTAAAAATGTTTCATGGGGTAAGGTCATAAGTGCACATTCATATCATGCCATTCAATGATCTCAGGAAGAATATCTCTGGAATGACATCCACATCAGATCCTGCTGGTATCCAATTAGGGCCTTAGGAGGAACCACTTCCTAACATCTGAATACGATGCTCTTCTCTTACACAAGTAGCAGAAATGCAATCCTCACCGCCATCGAGTCAATTCTGACTCATAGTGGCCCGGTGTAGGAGTTCCGAGGCTGTACATCTTTCGAGGAGTCGAAAACGTTAGAAACATGACAGTGCAGTAATTCTGCCTCCAACAGGCCTTGTGCTCTATCAGCCCAGGCTAACTGTCTTTGTTCTTGCTGGGCACGGTGGGCAGCGTGATACCTGCTCTCAGACTTGTAATTTTGAAAACACATTTTAGCTACCTATCACATGTGCCAAGTACTGGAGGATGATACACTGTAAATAAACAAATTCCAACCCCAAGCAGTACGTACTATAATAGAGACGTGTGTGCAAAACAATGGGAGTTTATTATAGAGAGTTTCCAAACTGGGTAATGAAGGATAAAAATGAATTACTCAGGCATTTCAGGCAGTACAAATGTCTGAAAATGTGTTGAAAGTAATTTTGAAAAATGAAGCAAGCTTGGAAGGGATGGAAAACAATAATGGCTAGAGGACAGATAAGAAAATCTATTTTTAGAAAACAGCTCTCCTTTCTCTCTTGACAGATTTTCATGACCTGCTGATGTGTTTATAAAACGACTGGTTCTCTGCTTTGCTTTGAATAACTGCTGTAAAACACAACTAACTGAAGACAATAACCAGAGAATAGTAGGTTATTACCATCAATGGAAAGGTGAACTAGCAAATAAAACAAAGATATAAAATATACATTGCTTTAACAATAAAGGTAAGGACCTTAAGTGGTTTAGTGATCAGTTTCTTTACTTTAATGGCACTGCCAGACCCCCAGTATCTCTTTGTGCTCTGCTGAGCCATTTCAACGCTGCCCAGGCCCCAATGTCTGTGGTGAGGCAGGTGTGCTGGCTCATGGACACCTGTGATACCCTCTCCTGGACTCCCTCTGGGACAAGAGAGCCAGACTCTGCAACAGTCAGCAGTGAGCACATCACAGAGGGCAGAGCGCAGACTTAGACCCCAAGTTATGCTTCCTCATCAAACCACACTTTGCATGAGGTTTCCCAAGGTATAATCACTCACACCTGTGCACTACAGAATTTTTCCATGCTGCTAGAAAATCTCATGGATGGATTTCTCCACTTGGCCCTCTTTTACTTACGGTTGATGAACAGTAAAAAGATGCACTTCTTCACTGAATAGTTAGCATTGGATATGTATCCATTCATTTTGAAGGCTAGGGTTTTATCCTCACATCCAACTTCTATTAATTCTCTGGTGAGAAGAGAAAAAAAATTGAGAATTTTGAGACCATTGGGTAACTCAAACATTATAGGAATCAGATTTGGAAAATAAAGGGCTATTCCCCATAAACTAAGTCTGCCAAATGAGGACCCCGGAGACTTTGTTCACTGCGGTCTCCTCAGTTTGTCCCTCCATGCAGTCCGCCCATTCACTCATGTTCCACCAACCCACCCAGCCAGCCACCCAGTCAGTGTGTTCAAACACCTATGCTATTTGACAGGCACTTCTTGAACTGTTGGGATTTAACAGCAAATCCAAGCTCTGGGTCCTTATGTCACTGAGACCTGTATTATCTTGGTAAATTAAACCAAAGGTAAAGTCCCAAGAAAAACCTACCTCTCCGGAACTCCTTACTATACTGAATAGCTCCACCCTAATGGCCCCTAGGGTGTGTTTACTGGGAAGGGGAAGTAAACAAAGGAAAAGGAGGCCCTCAGACAAGTTACACCCAGACCTGCTTCAAAACCAACCCCGAGTGCCTCTGTAAGAAAAGCTCTATCTCCAACCCAATCTCCCTTAAACTTTATGTTGCAGGGATTACGTCCTCAAATAGACTTCTTTAACTAGCCTTCTCCCTGACTTCTGAGAGATTCTCTCTTTGTGCCCTACGATTTTTTCTTTGAAGCATGTGACACAATTCACTAATGAAGGGCATAATTATTTGTCTCTTTCTTACTAGAATATGAATTCCATGAGGGCAGAAAACACTTCTGTGTTCACTAACATATTCCCATCGTATAGTATGTCCTCATTGCTGGTGGTAAGCACCACATCAGGACTCCTCCATAGAGCACGTTGTTGTTAAAACCCTTCAAAAAACGAACCTCACCGCCGTTGAGCTGATTCTGACTGATAACATGTCTATAGGACAGACAGAGCAGAACTGCCTCAGAGGGGCTCCCAAGATTGGACATCTTTATGGAAGCAGACTGTCACATCATTCTCTTTCAGAATGGATGGTGGGTTCAAAATATCAACCTTTCATTTAGCCATTCAGCACTAAACCCCCGTGCCACCACATAGCATAGTGACTGAGAAAGAGCAGACACTCAGTAAGTGCTTGCTGAATGAGTGGAGGGCACCTTCCATGCAGTGGCGTGTGTTGTGAATCTCTGAGTGCAGGGCATGGCTTCCCATATACACTGAACCACCAAATCTTTCTTTCCAAAGCATCTTAAGAGGACAACGTTCTGAAAATAAACTTTAGGATAAATGTTATTCCAAGACATTTCAGATCTATTAAAGTCCCAAAGAATTTCTTAACAAGTAATTCTAAGGGTTATTAAACTTAGTGGAGAAACTCAAGTTATAGTGTAGAATATATAGAACACAGCTTTCCCTTTGCTCTGGTGGCACACTACAATTAAAAAAAAAAAGATAATGTATTAACAATTAGAGAGAAAAGTGTAATTAAAACCAAACTGCCTGTTTCCTAATTAGACTTGATTTTGCTTAAAGAATGAATAGATTGTCCTTCAAAGTAGAAGCTGCATTCTGAGACTATGACAGCTACTGTGGAGAGTTCTGGGAAATGGGAGCATTAGTAGATGACAGAAATTTACTGCTATTGATGTTAAGAGCCGTGACATCAGCTGTGTCTCACAGAGATCCTGTATAGGGTTTCTGAAGCTGCAAATCTTTGTGTGAGCAGAAAGCCTCATCTTTCTCCCATGGAGCGGTAGGTAGGCTTGAACTGCCAACCTTGAGATGTGCAGTCCATTGTTTATCCTACAGAGTCACTCTGCTCTTCTGAACTCGACCAGACTAGAGCTATTTTGAAGACAGGGGGAGAGAGCAGACTGATATACAATCCTGAGCCTCTACGAGTTAGCATGTTCCAGAAAACGTGTCTCAAGGAATCACAAGTGTTGATTACATGGGATAAAGATTCCATCAACAAATATGAAACATGGTAACAAGCCTAAATATTTGGTTAAAGTAAATCCTCAAGGTAGGTTCTATTTTGACAGATTCCGATAAAGCATGGCATGGAAAGAACTTTTAAAAGGGGTTATTAACATACCGACTAACAGCGTTCCCAAAGATGGACCGAATGTTGTCCACAGTTGTGGCGTTGGGCAGTGTTCTTACATCAGCTACCGTCTCACCTTGCTGATAAACAGAAAAGAATATACTATGGCTTATAATCTCATAGTTGTGTTCAGAACATCATAACCGTATCTTCATATCTTCTGGCAACTGTAATAATGCCCCACCCATTTTTGTGTGTAAATTGGGTAAAGGTTTACAGAGCAAATCAGTTCTCTATTCAATAATTCAAACATTTTGTTTCTTGTCATTGATTGTAATTCCTATAATGTAACATTAATCATCACATTTCTTCCCTGTGTTTCCTGTTTTCTATTTTTCTCTTTTCTAACCCTTACTGTGTTCTGAATTTTGCCCTTATACAAACACTGCCCTTTTAATCTCAAATAGTTTATTCTAAGGAGTGCATACCGTTCTTACATACTTGTCTACTGTTTGACGGAAAATTGAGCCATAGGGGGGAATTCAGTTCCAGGCCTGAAGGGTGACTAGAGGTTATAGTCTCAGGGGTCCTACCAGCCTCTATCCAAACTGTACGCCTGATCTTTTATTATGATTTTGAGTTTTGTTTCACATGTTTCTCACACTCAATTCAGGACCTTCTTCTAAAAGTAATCCCTTTCAGAGCAGTTAATAGTTGTAGCAAGGCACCATCTAGTTCTTTTGGTCTCAGGGCCAAGGAAGCTGCAGTTTGCATGGTTCGCTAGTCTACTAGATCGTCTCCAAGTGCCTTTGCTTTTCTTCACTATTCTTTACTCCAGATAGAGCAGAAATCAACAGTTGCGTCTCAGATGGCCACTCATAAACTTTTAAGACCTCAGTTACTATTCACCAAAGCAGGCTATAGAACACAGTCTTTGTAAACTAAGTTACGCCAGATGACCTTGATGTTCCCGAGACTATGGTTCTGAGCCCTGACGCCCAATGACTCATCCATTCAAAGTGTTTGATTATGGCTAAGAAATTTTCTTAACTTTTTCCCCTGCATGCTCTACTGTATTCATGCATATATTTGTACCATAAGTAAATACATATATGTAATCCTTTGAGTGTCTTCCTTTGCCATCATCATTTTTTGACTGACTTCCATCTTACTATATACTGCCGTCCCCTCCAGCCAAGTTAATATGTGTGCATTCTTGAGTCAGTGCTTTAGTCTCCCTTTCCCAGCAATCATCAAAGAATGCTTCCTTTTGTGTGATAACCTTTTCTTGACTTTTTTATAATAATGGTCTCAGACAATGTTTGTTCTTTTGTGCTTGACTTATTTCACTCAGCACAGTATCTACTAGTTTCACCCAAATTATGACATATTTTTCAGATGCATCACTACTTTAACGTTGTGCAGTATTTCATTATTGTATGTACTATAGTTCATCTATTACCATAATCCCCCTCACTTGTTGTTCAGAATACATAACTGTCCCCTATAAATCAAGAACTTACTTTTTTAACTGAGAAACTAATGCCTGCATTGTGTATTGAATACCTGGGTGAGGAAAAAACAACAACAGTTAGAGAAACAAAAACAGAGAATGACTAAATGAACATCACATGTAGCCCTCCTTTTCACTGAATAAATTGATGGGAGTTGAGTGGTTTAAACAAAGATATATACAAGCAAAAATATCTCAGTATACTCGAGTAATTCAAAAAGTATTGCTGTAAAATAATCGATATTTATTAAACAAAAACATCAAAATGTGAAGATAACTGTTTTGTGACATATCCTCCATCTAGGACTATATACTTCTGAAGGTTGGGTTTCCATCTCTCTGTAGGATAAACAATAGACTGACCACAAGGTTGGCAGTTCAAATCCACCAGTCGTCTAAGGAAAAAGATGACATGTTCTGCTAAAGTAGATTTATAGCGTTGGAAATCCTATAAAGGGTCGTTATGAGACGGAACCTGCTTGCTGGCACCTAAAAACAATAGAACTCTTCCCCAAAGAATTCTCACCATGTCAAAATGGCAGTTTTAGTGAGGGACTCAAATCGTGTTCCTTTTCAATGTATTTTGAGTTTGGAGAACAAAAAGAAGTCTAATGGGGAAAGAACAGGGTTATAAGTGCATAGGCTAAGTTTTCCCAATGAAATTCTCATAGGACAGTCTTTGCTACCCTCAAAGAATGAGCAGGTATGCTGTCGTGATGGGGAAGATTCCTCAAACTAACTTTACTGGCCTTCTTATCAATGTAATTTTCAATTTTCTTACTTCTTCATAATAAGCCCCTGTGATTGTCCTGTGACTTGATAAAAATCTATCAAGATTACCCCTTTGGGATCCCAAAAAGCAATTGCAATAACCCTTCTGAACTGACCTCTCTACCTTGAATTGAACTGGCCCAGCAGATCCCCTCAGAAGCCATTATTTTGACAGGACCTTTTCTAAGAAGGCAACCTAACGAAACTACTGAGAGGACTTGTCTGAAGCCATCCACTAACTGACAAGACATTTTCACACATTTTGTCTGGAAGAAACCTGTGCATGTTTGAACTGGAATGCTAGTAGCATTGCTTTTTGACTTTATCTTGTATGATATCCTACCCACAGGAAAATAACATCATAGAGGTAATAATGCTAAATGTGACTGATTCAAACAAAACATAGGGTTCTCTGTGCTTTTATGGGTTTCTGATCAGATTCTACAATAGCTCAATTCAATCTTACCCATGTTGGTACGTCTCAAAGACATCTTGAGAACCAAGTTTACCCACCTAGGCACCTCTTTTATTCGATCTGAGTCCTCAGTACACTCTCCCTCCTCCCTTATTCTCTCTTTACCCTTACGTCCTGTTCCAGTCATCTCCCAGACTTTTCTTGCCTGGCCACTATTTATTACTCCTTCCTCTATGGACCAAAACTGAAGGAATGTACATAGCAAAATGCATTTATGCATTAACAAAAATATTTCACTTTATTACCCCTAGAACCAAAATAACCAATCACAACAAGTTATTTTCAGGAGATGATGAATATTCCCCACCAGTTTATAGTATGCCAGATAAAAGTAAAGAAACTCAGTATATAAACCTGTGCCACTTTATTACTGGCCGCAGAACACCTCTGTTACAATTTCAAAGGTCACCATAGTAGAACCACTGAACTATCAGATTAAGTCTATCCTACAAAATGTTTCACCTGTCCTGAACTCCTTCCCTATTTATCAGCCAATCTGCTCTTGGAAAACTACCTTATCCCCATCCCACTTAATGCCCCTTTACTAAGACTGACAATCAAGAATTTTCATCCCCAGAGAAGTGGGCACACAATTTTGTGATCCAAGATATACCAACCAAATACACTTCCCAGGAAACAGATTCTTGAGTAGTTAGGAAAAAAATAGTTACAATCCAAGTACATTAAATCCCTGACGCCACTCTGGCTCCTGTCCTGTCCTCCCAAAGGAACTCTTCACACCTCCTTCTACTTGTAAAGTAACTCTTAGCCTTACAGTAAATTCCTGTGGACTCAAGTCAGTTAGAGCCAGTTTGTTTTACTTGTCACCAAAGAACCCTCACTGATAAAAGAGACCAACTGCTCTTTTGTGGGGAGGAGAAAAAGTCAAGGAATTGGTGACGAAATTTTGACTGAAAACAATTTATAGGATGCTCAAAGGAGCTCTGGTAGCATAGTGGTTACAAATTGGGTTGCGAACCGTAAGGTCAGCAGTTCAAAACTACCATCAGTTCTGTGGGAGAAAGATGAGGCTTTCTGCTCCCATAAAGATTTACAGCCTCAGAAACCCTGTACAGGGTCGCTATGAGTCGGAACCGACTCCAAGGCACATAAGCACCACCACCACCATTGCTGTTCAAGACTCACCAGCTGCTCCTCAGACATCCTATACAGGGTTGCTCTGGGTTGGAGTCAACTCAATGACACTTAACAACAACAATTACAACATTGTTGTTCTCCACCCTAGCTCAGTAACCACTCGCTGTTCACAAGTACTGGAACACACGCCTGTGGTAAAAGATTTCCGAGGCCTACTCCCAGACTCTGGACAATACCTGCCAACGACTTCCAGGATCTTCCCATACTCTTCACTTGGATTTTTCAAAGCTTTTCTCCTCGTGGCTATATTGTAAAAGAGGTCCTCCACCTGAATAGGAGATTAATTTTTCTAATAAATTCATAGAAGTACGTCAAAGAAAAGGCCTAAATTATCTAACACCTTATGTTGGGTATTAAGGCAGTGCAAGAATGCAATTATATTTACCAAAAGCACAGTTCTAAGCACTTATGAAGGAAGGAACAACTGATAGGCCATTATTAACAAAGGGAATAAAGGATCTTTTTACTGCCTTCAACGTTCATTCATCCCTTCCTCAAATATTTACTGGAGGCTTCAAGCTCACCAGCTGCTCCTTGGAAACCCTATACAGGGTCTCTATGGGTCAGAACCGACTCGACAGCACTTAGCAGCAACAATCTCTCCATATCAGGAGTCCCTGAGTGGTGCAAACTATTAAGCACTCGACTGCTAACTGAAAGGCTGGTGGTTCAAATTCACTCAGCTACACCTCGGAAGAATGGTCAATCAACTTACTTCTGCAAGATCACATAGCCACTGAAATTCATATAGAGTGCAGTTATACTCGGAAATACATGGATTTCCCATGAGTTAAAATCAACTCAAATCAATTGGTTATCTCTCTGTCAGGTTCTCTGCTTTGTGCTGGAAATACAAAGATAAACTACAACCTTGCCAATGAGAGTATTTACTTTAGTGACGTAAACAAGTAGATTTCTGATTCTCAATCACATGGCATTCAAAAGATACTTTCAAACTAAGTTCACAAAATTTCTGAAGTGACTTAGGGTTCTCGGAAATCATGGTGTGGTCACCCTAGTACAAGAGCCTCCTTAAAATACATTGCAATGCACACATGAATTTCTGTCTCCTGGCCGCCTCATCAAGCAGGGGTTGGACAGGGTAATCTTCCAGGAGCTCTACCTGGGAGAGCTGGAGGTAGAAGGGTGGGACGCTCTGTGGACCACAGAAAGAGAAGAGGCTAAATGTGGCAACACAGAAAATGAGGCGGTATGAAGATCTTTGCCTCAGTTATTGATAGAATCATACTACTCACCAAACAGCCCTGAAGGCAGGTGAGCAGATATTCTTTGTTCCATGTGACAGTTGAACATATCTAACTAGGTTATGGGCAAGTAAGTGACTTACTAGATGAGCAACCACTGAGATTCAATGGAGCTAAGATTAATGTCTTTCTAGTGCCAACCATCCTACACTGCTTCATTCCCTCCCAACAAAAGCATCCCCAGACCTTTAATAACAAGGGAGTAGACACGCTGCCATACGACAGGAGTCAAAAGTCATTCATCTTGCTTAGACAGTGACATCTTAGAGCTTCTATTAACCAAAAAAAAATCTCATTTAATTATTATCCTAAAAACTCAGAGACAAATGAATTTATTTCAATATCCACACAAAGCTCTTTTTCAAAGACTTACATGCCCATGTGCCATTCTTACCATGATCTGGGTCCCCTGATTGCCTGCACAGGGTTTAGGAGGAGCTTTTAGCTTTCCATCTGAGTAACTTGCTCTAATCAGAAAATACAAGAAATAGCTAATCAACAATAGAAACATAGCTAGGTACTCACCCAAAGGTAAGAAATTAAGACCAACCACAGATTAAAACATACGCATGTTATATACTGTCTTGATGAATTACAATTTTTGCCTTTATTTTCTAACTAATGTCATAACTTTTATTCAATTATACACACACACACATACACTGGGATAAAGCACTGGACCACAATGTCAGTTTAAACTGCAGGGTTGGAGGTTCAAACTCACCAGTAGCTTCTTGGAAACCCTATACAGGGTCACTATGAGTTGGAACTGATTTGATGGTACTTAACAACAACATATATATATATATATATATTTAAATCCTTGTTCCTTATTATTAGCAAATGTTACTTTTAAATCTTGTTATTGCCTAACATAACAGTAAAATTAATGAGGAAACAGATCTGTACCTAAAGTGCAGAACAATGCGCCAAGAGATCGGGGAAAAGAAACATTCGGCCTGGCGTGGGTGAAAGCGTAATTCCTCTGGATTTCAGGGAAGAATAGTTTCAGGTAGAGAGTGCAGAAAGAGTACCAAGAAAGGGATACACCAGAACAAAGGCACAGACGCTCTAGTATAACATGGCAGCCACGAGTGTATAAAGAGGGTGGCTGGAAGGTGACCTCCAAGCACACTGACAGGGCCCTGAATGCCATGAGGATGACTCTGGACTTCATCTTGCCACCAAAGGTCTCAGGTAGGTGTGTATCCTGACCCTTGAGGTAAAGAAATCAAACTTATGCAGCACGGTGTATAAGAAGATGCTAACTCCTCTCAAACTGTAAAAGAGTAAATTTCTGTAGTTTAAAACCACCGAGTGTGTGGTAATTTGTTACATCAGGAAGCTGATACAGGCCATATGAGGAGATCCACGTGGTGATGGAATAGGTATATATATCTTGACTGCAGTGATAGGTACAGGAATCTACATGTGACTAAATGACAGACAACTATACACACAAATTATGCCAATATCAATATCCTTGTTTTGATGTTATATTATAATTACACAAAATCTAATTTTCCTGCGGCAGAAACTAGGCGAAGAATCCACAAGTCCTCTCCGTACGTTATTACAGGTTCTTATGAATCTATACTGGATTAGTATAAAAACTTAAAATAATACATAGATTAAAAAAAAAAAAAGAAAAAACGATGCTACCTCACAACTGACTCCCCAGTTTGTGAGTGGGAATTCTAATATCGCAGCCCATCCTGAGCCGAGGGCAAATATAATTCCCCCAGCAGCAAGCATTGCATATTTGGAAATGTTCCACCTTCTATAAATTCATACTACATATTCTGAAGAAGATGGAGCAATAGGCAGAACTCCCCTTTTTTGAAACAATTTCCTGTCTCAATTTACACACATTCTACATGAGAAGAAAATACATTTCTTTTTTTGGCAGTACTATTTGCCAGTGTTTTTTGAAAGAGTCCATTTTGATCCCTTAAGTTTTGCTTTTTGATCTGTTCCAAGCCCATTCATCAGCCCAGTAGAGTGCAATAATCCCCTGTGGGAAGGCAGGTCAACGCACACTTGCACACAGTTCAGGGAGTTGGGGAATCAGGAGCCAGAAAAAGGATGTGAGCCCTGAGCACCCCAGCCAGGGGCCTGTTAGCAGCCCAACACAATCGACTACGGAAAGGCAAAAGGGCAGAACTAATAACAGCCGCTGCCATTTACTGAGAAACTCCAGTTAATAGATACCAGGTGAGGCGCTCAGCATATGTTCATGGTCGCTCTTTAAATAAGAGCCCGACTGTCACCTAATCCTCATCCCCGTAGATCATCTACTAATTAACCTGGAGGAAGAAAATTTACCCTAGATCTCTGCCCAGAAAGATGAAACTGTTATTCTGACAGGATTACTTGCAGATCTAGTTAGAAACCCCATCTTAGGTTCAATACGTAAGAATACAAAGGGCTGCACAATACCTGTATGCACACTTTCCATCAGCTGTTTTGGTTGTAATAGTAACGTGAGCCACATGGCTTATGCTAGCCAAAGCCTACAGGAAAAGAAAAAAGGAAAAGGCTTACAAGAAGAACTCATTGCTAGGCTACCTACTGCCACTGCATCAAAGAAAAAGGTTATCTGCATCACCTCTCCCATTCTGTGTTAACAAGCGCCAACAATGAGCACTTGGCTTACTCAATTTCATGACACATGGTTCTATCATGACCAAGGGAATGAATGAAAGTGTGCAGCTTGATTCTAGGTTGCTGCTATGTACAACTTTTAAAATAGTTCACAATTTAAATGGTTTATGTATGGTTCAAGACAAGACAAGTGGAAATGTACATTTTCTTAGTTTCTTTCAAACTTCAAAGTATAACCATTATTTCATTTGGAAATTCAAACCTCAAAACTCTAGACATATTATCCTTAAAATATAAACAGTTCAGAGTCAAATATAAATGGTAAAGATGCTCTTTTAAGCATTATTTATAATAACAAAGAAAAAAACAGAAGAAAGAAACAACAAAAAGCCTGGAAACAATGTAAATGCCTTATAAATATAACCAATAGTTAAGCAGAGAACGGTATATATAAAAAATCACCTTTATTTAGTATTCTGTAAGTAACTATTGACCTATCATTTCAAACGCAAGTGTTTTCAAAGCTGGATTTTGATTTCCCATTCCCAAATTTTCTTCTTCTGCAGTCTTCTCTATCATAAGAAACAGAATTCATCCTTCCATCCATCCACACCACACGGACATTACATTTGACTTCTCTCTCTCCATATGCGTTCCATTGGCAAACCTACAAGATTTTTCTTCACTATATATCCAGAATCAAACTACTTCTTGCAACTTCTACTGTCGCTAACTTGGAACAAGCACCATCATCACTCTCCTGAATTACTCCAACAGCTCCATAACGGTCCTCTGCTTCTGTCAGCCTCCTTCAAATTATTTTGCATACAGTAGTTACGGTGGTCCTTTAAAAATGTAAGTCAATCCATGCCAAAGTCCTTTCCATGGCCTATGTCATCTGACATGTTTTGCCCTCATTCTACTTCTCTGGTCTCATCTCCTACCACTCTCTCTCCCACCAACGTTCCACCCACATTGGCCTTGGTGCATATCCTAAGAACACGGCAAGCACATTCTCACTGCAAAGTCTTTTACCTGGAACATTTTTCTCCCCAGATATTGGCTGGTAATTGAATTACCAGTGGCACAGCTTCCAGCATCACAGCAACACACAAGCTACCAGTGTACAACAAACTGACAAATGGATGGTAGAGAGAAGGATGGAAAATTCCTTATGCATTCTATAAAGCAACCATAACCCTGATATCAGACCCACACAAAGATGCAAGAAAAGTCCAGAGCAATCTCTGATGAATACAGATGAAAAAAATCTTCAACAAAATACCAGTGGTTAGAATTCCACAGCATTTTAAGAGTCATACACCATGATCAACTGGGATTTATTCCAGGAATGCAGAAATAGTTCTGCATTAGAAAATCCACCACTGCAATATTGGTTTCCAAGGAGTGGCTGGTGAGTCTGAATTGCAGATCTCGTGGTCCTTACGTAATACACATCAATAGAACCAAGGAAAAGAAACATATGATCATCTCTATGGATACAGAAAAGGAATTTGAAAAAACCAACATTCTTTCTTGATGAACTCTTTAAAGAAGACAGGAATAGATGAGAAATTCCTCAGTATGATTCAGGGCATATGCGAAAAGCTAACAGTTAAACATTATACATTATGGAGAAAGATGGAAAGTTTTCCCTTTGAAAGTGCGAACAAGATAAGGGTGTCTGCTCTTAACACTTAAATTTAATATTGTATTACAAGTCCTAACCAGAGAAGAAGGGGAAAAAAAAAAAAAAAGAATTCAAACAGAAAAAGAAATACAATTGTCTCTATTTGTGGGTATTATGATCCTATTACAGAAAATCCTAAAATATGCAAATGGAAACTTTTAGAAAGTGGAATTTAGCAAAGTTACTGGGTACAACTCAACTAACATATATCAGCTGTGTTTCTCAACCACAGCAATGAGAAATCTGCAAAGGAAATTAGAGAAACAAATTCATTTATAATAACAGCTATGAGAATAAAATACCTAAGAATAAAATCTAGGATGTGAAGGATTTATATAATGAAAATCATAAAACACAGATAAAAGAGATTAGGGTAGACATATCTAAATGGAAAAAGGTTTCATGTTCAGAGACTGGAAAACTTAGTATTGCTAAGAGGTCATTAGTACTCAAAGTGAACTATAGATGCTATGTAATCCTGATTAAAAGAGACAGAAATACCAATTTTACATTGAACTTTATAGAGAATGGCATGAAACCCCAAATGGCAAAGGCAATGTTAATGGAAGAACAAAGTAGGAGGACTCACACTTTCTGATTTTAAAGCACTGTTGTTGTTGTTAAGTGCCATCAAGTCAATTCCAACTCATAGTGACCCTGCGTAGGGTTTCTGAGGAGAGGTTGATGGAATTGAATCGATGATCTTGTGGCTCAAACTGACCTTGCGGTCCAGTGCATTATCCCACATTGCACACCAGCCTATATATAGTTGTGAAAGTTGGAAACAAAGAGGAAGGATCAGCAGTTGGAAAGTAAGGCCTTGGTGAGAGAACATATACTAGAGATTGCATTATAGAATTTTGGAAGACAAGCAACTTATTAATTACATGTACCTTTTTTAAACAACATAAAAGGCAGCTATACATCTGGACTTCACCAGATGGAATACACAGGAATAAAACTGACTATATCTGTGGAACGAGATGGTGGAAAACCTCCCTCTCATCAGCCAAAACAAAGTCAGGCAAGACTGTGGAACAGCCCATCAATAGCTCCTATGCAAGTTCAGGCTAATGCTGAAGAAAACTAAAACATGTTATGAGAGCCAAATATAACCTTGAATATATCCCATTTAATTTAGAGAGTATCTCAAGAGATTTGATACTTCAGATACTACAGACTGTGAGATGACACCAAGAACATTATGCAAAAGAAAGCAAAAGGTAATTAAAAAGACAAGAAAGGAAAAAAAAAAAAAAAGACAAAATGAGCATCAGAAGAGACTCTGAAACTTGCGTTTGAGCATAGAGAAGATGAAGCGAATGGAGGAAATTAGGAAGTAAAAGAGCTGAACAGAAAACTTCAAAGGGCATCTTGAAAAGTCAAAGTCAAGTGTAATAATGACATTTGCAAAGACCTGGAATGAGAAAACCAAAAGGGAAGAACATGATCAGCCTCTCTCAAGGTGAAAGAATTAACGAAACATATTCAAGCCGAGCTCGACATGCAATTCTGAAGGATTCTATGGGCAGAACACTGAATGATGCAGAAAGCATCAAAAGAAGATGGAAGAAATGCAGTCACTGTGCCAAAAATAGAGGTGATGCTCAATCACTTCAAGAGGTAGCACATATGATCAAGAGCCAATGGTACTAAAGGAAGAAGTCCACACCACATTGAAGGCACTGGTGAAAAACAAGGCTCCAGAAATGGACAGAAATAAATCGAAATCTTTCAACAAATTGATGCAGCACTAAAGGAGTTCATTCATCTATATCAAGAAATTTCTAAGACAGCTACCTGGTCAACCGATTGGAAGAGATCTGTATTTGTGCTCATTTCAAAGAAATGTGACCCAACAGAATGTAGAAATCACTGAACAATATCATTCATTTACATCAATTTACATGAAAGTAAAATTTTGCTGAAGATAATTCAAAAATGGCTGCAAAAGTATATCAACAGGGAACTGCCAGAAATCCAAGCCGGATTCAGAAGAGGACGTGGAACAAGGGATATCATTCTTGACATCAGATGGATATTGACTGAAAGCAGAGGGTATCAGAAAGCTGTCTACGTGTAGAGGCTATGCAAAAAAAAAAAAGTTTGGATGACATTGCAAAGAATGAGTATTTCAGAACATTTGTTTGTGCTCGTAAGGAGTCTGTACATAGACCAAGAGGCAGTTGTTAGAACAAAGGGACTCTGAAAGTTTTAAATTCAGGAAAGGTGTGCACCAGGGTTGTATATTTTCACCATACTCATTGATTCTGTATGCTGAGAAAATGATCTGAGAAATTGAATTATATGTAGAAAAACATGGCATGAGAATTGGGGTAAGACTCATTAACAACCTGTAACATGCAGCTGATACAACTTTGCGTGCTAGAAGTGAAGAGAACTTAAAATACTTGCTGATGAAGATCAAATGACTATAGCCTTCAGTATGGACTATACCTCAATGTAAAGAAAACAAAGATCCTCACCATTGGATCAACAGAAAAATAGTAAAGTTGTCAAAGACTTCATTTTGCTTGGCTCTATAATCAACACTGACGGAAGCAGCAGTTAAGAAATCAAATGACATACTGTATTAGGCAAATGCTGCACAATACCTCTTTATAGTATTAAAGAGCAAAGATACCCATTTGAGGACTAAGATGTGCTTGACCTAAGTCATAACATTTTCAATCACTTCATACGCATGTTAAACAATGAATAAGGCAGACCACAGAAGAATTAATGCACTTAAATTACGGTGTTGGAGAATAATATTAAGGGTACTACGGACAGTCAGAAAGGGATTAAAGGATACATCTGTGTTAAAGAAGTAAAACCAGAACACTCTTTAGAAGCCAGGACAGGGAGATTTCATCTCTAATACTTCACACACGTTATTGGGAGGAAACAGCTCCTGAAGACAAACTGACACTAAAATATATGACAGACTAATAACATAGATCAAGAGGCAGCTGATTGAACAGAATAAGGGAACAAAGAATAGTTTAAAATTAGGAAAGATGTGTGCCATGGTTGTATTCTTTCACCATACTTATTCATTCTGTATACTGAGCAAATAACTCAAGAAGCTGGATTACATAAAGAAGAGTGTGGCATCAGGATTGGAGGACGACTCATGAACAACCTGCAATATGCAGATGATACAGCCTTGCTTGCTGAAAGCAAAGGGGACTTAACATACTTACTGAAGAAGATCAAAGACCATAGCCTTTGGTATGAGTTGTACCTCCATGTAAAGAACACAAAAATTCTCACCACTGAACCAACAAATAACATAAAGATAAATGGATAAAAGACTGATGCTGTCAAAGACTTCATTTTGCGTGGCTCCACTATCAACACTCATGGAAGCAGCAGTCAAAAATCAAAGGACATGTTGCATTAGGCAAAATTGCTGCACAAGACCTTTTTAAAGTATTGAAGCGCAAAGATTTGAGGACTCATGTGTGCCTGACCCAAGCCATGGTATTCTCAATAACCTCATAGGCATGTGAAAGTTGAACAATGAATAAAGACCAAGGAAGAATTGATATATTTGAGTCATGGTGTTGGAGGATAATATTAAAAGTACCATGGACTGCCAGAAGAACAAACAAATCTGTCTTAGAAGAAGTACAGCCAGAATGCTCCTTAGAAGCCAGGATGGCCAGAATTCGTCTCTCATACTTCGGACATATTACCAGGAGGGACCAGTTCCTGGAGAAGGACATCCTGCTTGGTAAACTGGAGGGTCAGTGAAAAAGAGCACGAGCACAATGGTAGCCACAATTGGCTCCAGCGTAGCAATGATTGTAAGGTTGTCGAAGAACTGGACAGTGTTTCGTTTGGTTGTACATAAGGTTGCTATGAGTCATTACCAACTTGATGGCCCTTAGCAACATCAAGAAGTCCCTGGAGAAGGCCATCATGTTTGGAAGGTTGGTGACAAAGAAGAATGTCCCCAAGGAGCTGAACTAGCACAGTGGCAGTAACAATTGGCTTAAGCATGACAATTGTGAGGTTGACGCACAACTGGGCACTGTTTCATTCGGCTGTGCATAGGGTCAATGTGAGCTGGAACTTACTTGACAGAACCTAACTACAATAATATATAGCTACAGCAATAAAAACAGCCTGAAACTGGTATAACAATAGTCACATAGACCAGTGAAATAGATTTGAAATTCTACACATAAATCCATGTATCTATGGTCAACTAATTTTTGACAAGGATGCTAAATCCATTCAATGAGGAAAGAGCTCTTCAATAAACGATGGTGGGATAATTGGATTTTCACATGCAGAAAACTGAAACAGGATCCATGACTCACACCATACATAAAAAAAATTCAGCGTGGGTAAAGGAATCAAATGTGCAAACTAAAACCATAAAATTCTTAGAAGAAAAAACAGGGGCAAACCTACGAGGCTCATCTTTTAACTATGGATTATTTAATGTAACAATAGTATAAACAACAAAAGACGAAATATAAGGTATTCTTAAGGTATTATGAGATTTAAGCAAATAATCCTATTTTAGTCCTAAAAATAGCTTTAACTATTTTCTATAAACATATTGCTAATGTCCATTATATAATTTTATCTATAATTTTTTCAGTACATATATTTCTGTGAGATAAGGACCCATGATACTATTTTAAAGTGAAAACTAAAAAATATCTCCATACCATGAAATAGTCAATCTGTGTTCAAACGTTTCAGATTATCTCCAAAACTTTTTTTACAGTTTGTTCATCTCATTCCCAAGTACAATGTAGAGATTGGTGATGATTCATATGATTCTTTAAGTCTTTCTTAACCTATAGGTTCTTACATGATTTCTCTTTTCCTTTGCAGTTTATTTGAAGGACACAAACCTTTTGTCACGTCATTCCTAGTCTGTATCTTGCTGATGGCATCCGTATAGTATCACTTACTGTGTTTTCTTGCCCCTGTTTTATTTGGGGGGGGGGGAGGGAGTGTAGGGGAGAGTAGGAGTAAGGCATTATGGCAGTGTTAGGACAAAGACTAGGTCGAAGTTAGGCTTAGGACTTTATTTAGTGTTAAGATTAGGTCTACAGTTAGTGTTAGGGGTAGGGGATTGGGCAAGGGCTATGAGTAGGGCTTGGTCTTGTTTTAGGAATACAGTTAGGTTTATTTTTTATTTATAGATCCTGAAATCTACTTAATCTCTTCATTTGGATGTTCTAAAACTACATTACTTCTTTTTACTTCATGGGGTTTTTTGTTGTTGTTGTTGCAAATTGATAGATGGAGAAAAGATTAAAGTTGTCAAAGACTTCATGTTGCTTGAATCCACAATCAACACTCATGGAAGCAGCAGTCAAGGAATCAAATGGCGAATTGCATTACGCAACTATGCTGCACAAGACCTCTTTCAAGTGTTCAAGAGCAAAGATGTCAGTTTGAAGACTGAGCTGTGCCTGACCCAAGTCACACTATTTTCAAACGCCTCATATGCATGTGAAAGTTGGACAATGAATAAGGAAGACCCAAGACACATTGATGCAGTGGCTGTGCAGAAGGGGGCGCCACTGACCTCTGGGTGGATGTGGTCAGGGACTGGCCACTAGGAACAAGGGAGAAACTTAATACTCATGCCATTAACTTGCAGTGCATGTCCTGTGCCTCCAAGCTGTTGCAACTACAGTCACCAGTAGAAGGTCATGATGGCTGCACCGCACCAGGCCAGTCGACAGCCCACCTGTCAGTCTCCTCTCTTGCTGTTTCTGCTCAGCTTCCTTTCTCAATTGGCACTCAATCGACCTCTCTATCATTTCTTCTGAAGGTCACGGTTCTAGGATCACCATTCCTATCTGCTTCACTAGGTCGCCAACGTCCTTGTTGTCGAGGGCATGCTTAGTGCATCTGCCTACTCTGCCAGCTTGCCCCAGAAAGTGCCCCAATTTCATGTTGGTACTTAGCTCTAAATATTGATCAGATTAACATTTTGTTTTTTTCCTAAGAAACTCTGTAGATGATGTGGTATATGTCCATCAAGAGACACACAACATCTCTTGGTCTCTGTAAATAAAATAGTTTATGGTACATTATATATCAGTGTATAATTCTCAGTCATAAAAAATGAATTGAATAGTTTGTTCAGATTTGTATATATTTGTTGTTGTTGTTGTCAGGTGCCATCGAGTCGGAACCGACTCATAGCGACCCCATGCACAGCAGAACGAAACAATGCTCGATCCTGGGCCAACCTCAC